AGTGTCATTATTTCAGTACTATATCTTTGTTCGTAGTAGTCATACTAAGTCCCATATTTCCACACAATTAGAATTCCAGTACTCTTTCTGGAACATTGTGTTGAGTTCATGACGGCTGTACCTTTCCGAAAGCGCTCTTGAAAATGAAAGGATGGGTTTTATATAAGGGAAGCACCTGTCACGAGCGAGGAAAGAACTGCTCGGCCTCTAACAATACCCAGTCAAAGTGGAGCTAAATAAGAAAATAGCTTTAAGAGTCCCGCGGGAGTCAAGTGCCTGTTCACGCACAATCGCCTGCCTGCAGACTTCGAACGACTCCAGCATGTTGGCTTTTTTTCTATCTTGTACTTCGGGTACGCCTCGATTAGGAATGCTCGAAAGGAGCAAGTGAGTCAGATGCTCCAAATGAGGAAAGAAGGAACTCTTCTTGTTCTTCAACACACATACAGTATGTCGATGTAGAGCTTTACAGGAAATGGTTTTCCACCTCGCTTTAAGCACGACCGGAAACGTCTGCTTAAGTTTTTTTCAACAGTCACCGATGTGCGATTTCAAGTTAGTAGCTGACCATCTTCAAAGGCGGGATCTTTTGACATTTAGCTGATTTTTCTTTCTGTACCACAACGACCCCACAGAATCATTTGCTGCCCCACCATGCTTTTTTCTAATTTGCTTTCCTCAAAGGAAATGGAGTTGTGTTATCGGAACACTGAGGTAATTGATTGTTTTCCAACGTGGCTTTTGTCAGAATGATGTAAAAACCAACTCTGAAACAAACTCAGGCCTTTGCACACAAAGGTCTTTGTGGATTGTTTTTAATAACAATAAGTTATAAGAAGTTTCTTTCTCACCTGTGGCCAAGTGGTTAGCACTAATGTGGGAGACGCCAGTCTCGATCCCCCTCGATAAAATCAGTAAAAAGTCATATAAAGTGAGTTTTTCAATGAAAAATTTCTTAGGCTATGTTTACACGTCAACGGTGTAGTCAAAAAAGGAAAAGTTTTTCACTTGCGTTTTTAAAAAGTTTCACGTATACACGACAACGTTTTCAAAACAATTCGCATTTACACATATCCGCGAAAACGGCCAAAAACGCATGCCTTACGTATGCCAGGCCAGTAGTTGGCGCTGTCACCTTGTTAGTAAACAGTACCTGTAGGGAAGTGACGATTATAGGTTGTATATGTTGCGTCTCCGCTGTTGGTTGTAATATTGGCGAAGTAAATCCACACTTTGCTGAAGAAGCGTTAGCAAACTCTTGAGCAGCAACAACAGTACCATGTACTCCGCCATTGTTGTGTATGTTTGTTCGCGCTTGTCTTTAAAATTGACACGTACTGCGCATGTCTACATACCTAACACGTACTACGCGCGCGCATGACGCCGTTTTTGGTGTTGGGTGTGAAACGATAATGGTGGCGTTTTCAAAAACGTGCACTTTAAAACCCATTTTCAAAAATACGTGTTTTCAGTCCCCAAAATGCCGTTGTCGTGTAAACGAACATGCAAAACGCATAAAAAGTTTCCCATTTTTGGCTGAAACGTTGTCATGTAAACGCCCCCTTAGAGTAAAAAGTCAAACAAAACAAGGCTAAAAAGTAGTTTGTCGAACTCTCCCTGAATCAAAGACTCCATTCATTTTATCCGCATTAGAGAGGAATTGTGGTCTGGCAAACTGTGCTGACGTTTTTTTTTACAGTACAGTAAACTCCATCGACTGCTCTCCACTTACAGGCACTACAACGGCTAAAGTGATTCATGTTGATTGCCTCTCTTTTCCACCACGCTCCACTGTTCATAGTTTTTAATTGGATTAGTAATGTGACGTTCCGAAGTGATTCCCATTTGCCACGGACCATGACAAGCTTGTCAACAGATCAGCAAGTCAAACTGGGATATCTTGAGACAGGAAAGGGAGGAAGGTCAGTACGGTGCCTTATGGACAAAACTGGAAGCTGAAGGGGTCGTTTGAAGTTTACCATTGATCAATTTGGCTTCCAGTGCATTTTCTGTTCATTGGGATTGTTTGACTGCAGTATAGTCTGAAATTTAATTACTTAAAAATACACATAAGTGCACTACTGAGGTCTTAGAGAATGAAGATCTGAGGATGATGGAAGTACAGTTTAGGCCAGGGGCTTAAATTTAATACATACATACATACATTA